AGTGGGGTCATACCGTTAGGGAGAGAGAGGTAGTTTTTGAAGTTAAATGTTTTCAAGTGATTTAGTTGTTTGTGGTCGTTAGTTGGTTCCAAATGGTCCTTCGAGTTATCGATTTGAATGGGTCGAATTTATGAAGTGGTTGGACGGAACATATGGATTGTGATGGTAAATTTTCCCAAAATTCTAACCGAGTAAGATTTCGAGGACAAAATAAAGTTTAAGTGGGACAGAATTGTAACACCTAGTTACAAGATTTTTTTCTATTTTCAGGATAATGGGTCGTAGTAGGATCGAGTAAAGGTCTTAAGCTTCAAGGAAATAGATTTTGGACCCTATCGGATGTTGATAATGTTGGTTAAGTCATTAAATCCTTTGAATTGTGTTTTGAAACTAGAGGGTAAAATGGGGAAATTGATATTTCTGACTTTTTGCATGAATTAATGAATATAGGTTGGTATGTTTTAAGTCAAAAGTAATTAGATATAATTGTGGGGCTTGTCAATACCATCGTGTGCATATAAAGATCGCCAAAAATGGACCTAGAACGAAGAAGTTATGATTGTTTTAATTTGGAATGAAATGGTGGAAACCCGTCACCATGAGTGGTGAGCAGGTCACCACGAGTTGGCCGTTGTAAAGCCTAAACCCATGAATTTAAGGGTTTTCAAAATATTTAAAGGTAAGGTTCCATGCTTTAGGGTATTTTTCTCAGACTCCATTACAACTAGAGCTCCTTATTAGTAATCCTAGCCCCCTCTTCATAGATTAAGCTTCTTCCCTCTCCTCTCATCTATTTTTGGTGTTTTGGTGCACTCTTGAAGAAGGTGGTGTCATTTTTAGCATTAAGGAGTCTTCCAACCTAGCTTTTCTACTTCTAGTCACCTTCTGGACCTTTGTAAGTCACAAAGCTCCCTGCTTTTTAGTATCTTGTGTCTGGATCTTGAAGTATTATGAGTGTTAGTCCATACTTGTGAGTTTTTAGTGAGAGTTGGGATTAAAGTTTGCAGCTTTATCACTCTTAGAGGTCCTAAAAACATTGTATGTTTCAGATCTGGACTCACAAGTTGTTTTGATGTCATGCATGGGATTTTGACCCCATTTCGCACCATTTTGACATAGTTTTAGGAAGGAACTGTATTGGATATACATATCCATAAAGTTGGGATTTTATGGACCATTTGGTTGCAAAGAATCCTTCTTGAAAGTTTGAGTGGCTAACTTAATGAATTAAGGGCTTAATGAAAAGATGGAACTGTCAACGTAAACACGAAGTAACCTAGGACTTGGTACGACATAGTGGGCATTGCCATCCTATTTTTCTGGTTAACAAGGACCACAACATGGTAGGGTATTGCCACGACATGGTGGTCCGCTGAGTTAACTTTAACCGTTGACTTCTGAGCAGTTTGATTTTTGTTCAAACTTTTGTAGAATTCAGTATTTGAATAAGGGCTAGTCATGGTTTGGTACTATGTAGCTCAGGTTAGTTGTTCTATTGATGAGGTTGCAATTGAGATTTTGTGGTTTAGATCATGTGAGTTTTCTCATTGTGTTACTTATATTATATGTTATATTGAAATTGATGATAGCTCCAGGCTGTTAATGACCCATATGATTAATGATAGTCCATAGGAAAGCTAATAGTCTATAGGACTGCTATCAATCCATAAAGTTGTTGATAACCCGTAGTTGTTGGAGTTGTTGATAACTCCAGGTTGTTGATAGACCATAGGCCTGCTGATGGTCCATATGACTATGGGTAGTCCACAAGGTTGTTGATAATCCATAGTCGTTTTATATAGGTTGTGTTGTGCTATATGTGATATTTTAGGAAACTCGCTAAGTTTTGTGTTTAATGTTGTGGATTAAATGTTTTTCAGGTACTTTATCGGTTTTGGGATGTGAATGTGTGACTGTACACACACATCAGTAGTTTTATGATTGGATATTCCACGATACTTTCTTATAACTCTGATTTATGGGTTTCAATTTATGAACAAATGGTTTTGTTTTAAATGTACCCTTCTGGAAATGAGTGTTTATGATGGTTTTAAAATGGAAATTTTATTCTGAAAATTGGAACGTTACATGATGGATTTCATTTAGTTGCAACTACTTGTTATTTCATTGAATCATGAACGTTGTCTTGTACGTAAATCTGACCATTAGAACAAGTTTTGATAAAATAACATTTTGGAGTGGCATAGTACTCTTGGTTGCTTACTTACGAATGCTAATATGGATGATAAACATATTAACATTGATTCTTTTATAAATGATATGTTATCTTACCAAATAAATTTTGGATCACTTATTTGCGAGTTGTCCTTTGGTAATTGATATTTAGAGAAAGGTTGGATGTTAGTAAAGTATTCTTATTCCTTCTTTTTCCCTTGCCCAAAATTAGATTTGTTTAGCGGATCAAACAAAGCTTAGAGCATCCACAATCATGGTTCAATGAAAGATTTAATTAGGTTGGAAGCTTAGTTATCATTCAATAGATGAAACGTTACTATTGTGAGATGTCACATTGACATTCAATGGATTTAAAGTTCAATGGTCATTGGACTCTTCAATAGGAAAAATGAAAGTTCATTAATTTTTATATAACTGTTAAAAATGGGTTCTATTGAATATGATAGAGTTCAATGCATTGTAGGGAAAAATTTGATTGAGTTGTATGGAATACTGAATGATGATGTGATAGTCTATTGAACTTTATGTAGTTGAATGCATTGTGGATTCCCTTGGTGCAAACTAAAAGAATTAATGGAGGGGATGTGGTTATTTTGTTGGTTTGGGCATTTCAACATGCCACTTTATGTCAACCTAAGAAGTCACAAAAGGATGTGTTTTTGATAATATTACATCTGATTAAATACCGTAAAAAACACATTAAATAGATTGATTTTTTTTAATTTATTCTAGTTTTTTAATAGTTTGCAATACAACTTCAGCCGTTCCAAAAATATAGAAAGTTTATACAGGTTATGCATCAAAATTGCAACAATTGTTGAAGAACAATAAATGTTAAAATTAATGAATTTGGACGAGATAGAAAATACTCCCTAACTAAAGTGGTTTTATATCGGCTATTTCGTTTATAACCAGCACACACTAGTACACACACTAGTACAGAAAACATTTGTTGATGTGGCTAAAATGATTGATTGATGCGAGCATTGAACTGCACCAAAAAAATATCGCATCAAAAAATACCCTAATTTAATGATGTGGTTCCAAAACCACACTAAAAAATAGCCAAAACTACACCAACAAATAGTCAAAATCGCACAAAAAATAGCCAAAACCGCTTAAAAAATATCTAAAATTGCACCAAAAAATAGTCAAAACCGCCTCAAAAAACAGTTAGCTAAAACCAATTAACAGGTGCATCATTGATGCACACCACGCTCTTTATGAAGCTTCATTTTCTTGTATGTAGGTATGTTCGGTGAGTATTTTTTAATCAATGGTTCAATCGTAATATCTTAATATGGTTTTTGAACTTTATATCTATGATTCCATCGACTTCGCTTTCTTTAGTGCATCTACAATGGGAGTTAAATAGGGGTTCAATAGAATTTAATTGAGTATAATATAAAAGAGAGAGATGATTGAGTTGAATGGACATTGAATGCATCATAGGCAATTTGAGTGCCAAATGGTAAGTTTTTCATGAATTAAATATAATATATATGCTCTCTCTCCTAGTTGGCACTTCATTCAACCCTTTCATTTAACTCTTATTGCGGATCATTAGAACTTCTAGTGGTCCCTTCTTTGATTTTTATTGCAGATCATTAGAACTTCTAGTGGTTCCTTCTTTGATTTTAGTTTCTCCAAAAATGGTTGTTTCAATCTTTGCAATTTGTTTTTTTCTACCAATTTAAAATTTGTTTTTGGGAAATTACATTTCATCGACGTTGTTTTCAATTTCTTTTTCGACAACATCTTAAAATTTAGTCGGCTAAAACTAGCTCCGTACCCATTGATTGAAAGTCACTAAGGCAAACATCATAAGTCTTTGGATCCTTTTTTTGGTGATATATCAATGAAGAAGAGGTATCTGCAGAGATTTAAAACAAGAAAACATTGTTAAAACTTAAAATCGGACAATAATTACGATTAATAAGAGAAAAATGGAATCACAAATGTCATTAATTAAAAGAAGATAAATAATGGACATACCTCACATACATTTTCAAGCATGGAATCGACAAATCTATAATTATAGGAAGAGGCTGCATCTCCAACGTTATATGAATGATAGAAGATTGAATGAAAATTTTGAAAAACATGAAAATTTTAAACGAAATTTAGTGGGATCTAGCGCGAAATCAAAAATTCAAATGAAATTTTTAAAAGAAAGATTAATTTTACTATTCAATATTTTTTAGTGGGAATTGTTTTTTTGGTGTGGTTCAAGGTTGTTTAGTGCAAATTATTTTTAGTGCAATTGTAGTTGTTTTTTGGTGCGGTTTCCATATTATTTTTTGGTGTAGTTTGGAAAACCACACCAAAAAATTCTTTAATTGTGTCATTTTAGAAAACCGCACTAACAAAACAATTTTATTATACCGTTCTTATATTTTCTGATGCTGGAGATATTTACAATTTTCAGGTGAGACCGCATCAAAAAATAAAAATCACTCACGCTGTTAAATGAACTGTGTTGTTGATCTTTCATTCCCAATCTTACATTTGAAATAATAAAAGGGCCGGTGCAATTGTAAATTACTTGTTGCTATATACGTATGTTAAAATAATCATCAATCATTATAAACCGAAAGACAATGCGGCTTAGCAGCATCTCGGTAGGCTATCTCACAAAGCATGGCATTGACCTTGCTTTGCACCCAATCATCAGTCACCAATCAACCGCCTTCCTCTAATGGCTGCCAAATCATGCTTTCACGCAAGCAATGATTATAATATATCGTACAGTTGACATTTTCATGTACACTACAGAGGCTATAAATAAGACATACCATAACGATCTTTTCATTGCCAAACCAGTGTATCTTGAAACTCAAACTCAAACTACAATACTAACGTGTTTCAAATTCCCTCTGAAAAATGCCGATCCCGGTTATTGACTTCTCCAAGCTTAATGGTGAGCAGCGAGCTCAGACAATGGCTCAGATAGCAAATGGATGTGAGGAATGGGGATTCTTTCAGGTACTCATCTAGCATAAGCATGCATACACCCACCCACACACACACACCTTATTAAGCATGTCGTTGTAATAAGGGTTGGCAAATGTGTTTTTTCATTTGCAGTTGGTGAATCATGGGATTCCAGTTGAGCTTCTTGAGAGGGTGAAAAAGGTGAGCACCGAGTGCTATAAGTTAGAGAGGGAAGAGCACTTCTTCAAAGACTCAGCACCCGTAAAGTTATTGAAGGAGTTAGTCCATAAGAAAAGTGAAGACAAGGTAGATAACATGGACTGGGAAGATGTCTTCCTTCTCTCAGATGATAACGAATGGCCACCAAAGACCGCAGGGTTCAAGTAAGCACTAATACTATTTTCCGACTACTACCATGTAATGGATTTTACATGGATCTAACTTGTGAATAAAATGGTTTATATATAGGGAAACCATGACTGAATACCGAGCAGAATTGAAGAAACTGGCAGAGAAGCTAATGGAAGTGATGGATGAAAACCTGGGATTACCGAAGGGGTGCATCAAGAAGGCTTTCAATGGAGGAGAAGGAGAAAAGGCGTTCTTTGGGACAAAGGTCAGCCATTATCCACCTTGCCCTCATCCAGAAATGGTGACAGGTCTGCGGGCTCACACTGATGCTGGAGGCATCATCCTTCTCTTCCAGGACGATGAGGTCGGTGGTCTTGAGATTCTTAAAGATGGTAAATGGACAGATGTTCAACCACTCCGCAACTCGATTGTCATCAATACTGGTGACCAGATTGAAGTCTTGAGTAATGGAAGATATAAAAGTGTTTGGCATCGTGTTCAGGCTATGCCCAATGGGACTAGGAGATCAATAGCCTCGTTTTATAACCCATCTTTTAATGCCACCATAGAACCTGCAACACAACTAGTTGAAAAAGACAACAAGGAGGTCAAACAAGTTGGTTACCCCAAGTTCATCTTTGGTGATTACATGTCCGTATATACCGAACAGAAGTTCCTCCCAAAAGAACCAAGGTTCGAAGCTGTAAGAGGTGTATACGATGAGAAAGATTTAATCTTTTCAGTTTAGGGTTTGTGATAAAGATGATGATCATGGGTAATTATAAGCTTTTACCCAAGTGGCAAAAATGGTCTCGTGGGTTTGTCCTTCTGCTGCTAATTATGCAGATTGTGTACACAGCTTTACTATTATTCTGTTTGATGTTTCTGTTGTGTGTTTGCTTTCCAAACCATTGCAAATCTTGATATTGTTCATGATTGCTGCTTTGTGTCACTGGTATATCTGTCATTTCCTTTATTTCTTCATGTAATTACTAATACATTGTAATATATACTGAGTAATTTACCATCTAAGCGAAGGCACTTATTTGGTTTTTTTTTAAAGAATTTCTTGGTCATGTCTGTTGCTTAACAATCTCTATGTTCAAAGTTCAAACATATATCTAATATGATGTTTAGCTACGCATTAATTTATAGATAAAAGCTTGATTGGCCACTACTTAAATAAACAATTACCCATTGTAAAATACTAAAAGGTAGAGTTACATTTGTCAATAGTCAATACCTTTACAAATATATTAATAAGATTTAATATAGAAATAATTATAACGTAAAACGGTAAAAAGTCTTGCCTCCCCATATCTAGGCACGTAGATTTTTAAATATTTAGTTCTATTGATGACCTTTCATTTCATTATTTAACTCGTATATTATTTATTGCAGTCAAAGTAGCATATTCAAGATCAACCTTGCCGTAGTTCATTATCATAAGTTAAATAAAGCTTATTTTACACATATGAAGGCTTATTCTATATATACTCTAACTGTTTGATATAAACTATATGTGACGAGTAATAGCTATTGTATAATAGTAAGTTTAATGAAAGAGTTTAATATTGAGGTGGAAAGCCTACATATCATTCAATGGATAAAATTCTATCATTATGAGATATCACCTAATGGATAAAATCCTATCATTATGAGATATCACATTTACATTTAATGGATTTGGAGTTCAATGATCATTATTGAACTCTTCAATGGAAAAAAAAATCTTAATTATTTACTATAAATTTTATTTTATAAAATTTTATTTAACATTATAGAATTCAATGCATTGTAGATAGTGGCGGAACCAGAAACTTTTGCAATGGCTAACACAAAAAAAAATCCCGATAAAAGATAGTGAGAAAAAAAAATTAAATACTGTTTCATTAGAAATAACAAATCAACGCAAAAGTTTTACATAATTACATTTTTTAAAGTTGTCATTTATGATTACCCATTTTCCGCAAGCACTTTATCACTTGTTCGATCTTAATATTCATAAGTGTTTCTTTTTCTATACTACAAATTAAAGTATCATTCAAAAAATCATTACATATTTTATTTCGTAAGTCGGTTTTAAGAGCTTCATTACGGAAAAAACATCTTTCAAAGGTTGCGGTTGTGACGGACAAAATCAAAGTCAACTTTGATAACCTACAAACCAAAGGAAATGAAAGATGTTTTCTAGTTTCAACCATCTCAAATGAGAAAGGCCTCCAATTCCCTTTAAATTAGAAAATTCATTATCAATCAAAGTGTAATAACTTATTGGAATTCTATTTTAAATGTAATTAAGGTTGGTTTAAAAAAGCAATAGAATTGTATAGATTGTAGAAAATATGATGTGACATCCCTACCAACTAATTACTTCCACCATTGATTATATATATATATATATATATATATATATATATATATATATATATATATATATATATATATATATATATATGGAGGATTTGAGGGTTAGCACGTGATACCCCTACCAACTAATTACTTCCACCACTGATTGTAGAGAAAAAAAACAATAGAATTGTATAGATTGTAGAAAATATGATGTGACAATTCATTAAACTATGTAGAGTTTAACGATTATGATATTTTACGTAATATAATGATATTTTAAATAAATCAAACTTTTATTTTTCTGATTTACATAATATGATGATACTTTAATAAAATATTCAAATGTTTTTCATTCTAACATCAAAAAATGATTAATTGTTTACCTTTATATATATACTAGTGCCGTGAACAAGCCGTGCTAAGCACGGCCCACGAGTATTAATGTGCAATGCTATAATTAAGTAAATCTTAAAAAATACAATGCCTTGTTTGATTATATTAATACAATAAATATATTAACACCGGAGTGTTGCAGATCATTTTCGTCTAGTATCATGCATAACTCCTTCATCCACAAGATCTAACAAAAACAATATAGATATATCATAACTGTCAAAATGGAAGTACACTACTACTTGTTGCATATAACACCGTACTTTATACCAAAAAGGCCATAAAATGGAAATTGAGAAAAAATTACCTCTTTGTTTTCTATAAAACAACATAATTGGAATCAGGTTTGACATTTTTTGTCCTTAAAACAAACGTTGAAGCATATTTACATCTTGACATGTTAAATCATATCAAATGATATAATTTGTTAAAACATGTAATAATGGTTACATTTGACAAATTTCTAAACTTTTACAATGATAGCAAGATACAAAAATCATACTAATAGAGGAGAAAATTACAAAAATAAACCCTTAGCAGTTTAAACATTGATACTTTATTTTTCTTATAAAATTAATAAATATTTAGACAATTCTCCAAACTAACCATTTTTACCATTTTACCGAAAATTTTCAAAAGCAACGATTTTGACAGGTCAAAATGGAACATGTTTGAAACATTTATGATTTAGTTGGAAAAAATAAAATTGTAAGAGATTAAAATGCAAAATTGCCGAAAATATAATGTGTTTTTTTTCTGTATATTTCTTATCAAGAGTAACAAAGAAATTTAAAAAAAAAAATAAAAAAAAAAAAAAAAAGGTTCACAAGATATCACTTATGATGAGATAATATGATGGACTTCTTTTGCCTCTTTATGTCATAACAATATTCTCCCGTGATAACATTAACTTTTTATTTTGTCCATGACTAATTGACAGATATCAATCTATTCCAAATGAACAAATTCGTTTTTTGAGTAATTAAAGTCATAAACTACACAATGTACTCTACCTTAGGAAAATGATTATGCAAGAACATGTCGATTTATAATGGTCTTTAGTCGAACTTTTATTAAACCATATGTATATTATAAAGGACAAAACAATTATTTGTTATATATTTTCTTTTGTTTTGTAATGTCTCACTTGCATTGTACATGAAAGAATTGTCTGCAGGATTGCTTCATCCATTAAAAATATAGCAAAAGATTGTATTGGAAGCAATTATTTGTTTTCTTTAATTAATGCTCAAAAAGCAAGCAAATTCAAGTACAAATCATGAAAATATGAGAAAATGAACCGAAAGTTCTTCAAATGACATTTTAGTGCAACATGTTAGCAAATGCTTATAGCACCAAGATAGTTTACATAGCAAAAAAAGAGTAAATTATAAAAAACAATCCTAACATTTGACTGTGGAAAAAGGAACTATCATGAATTCAAGAATATGTCATTTATATCTCTTTCATCAAATATTTAGCAGTATTGTAAACAAATCTACAAGCTTCGGATAATTGATGGTTTGTCTTCTTATTCTCCGTGGTTAAACATGATGTATGTTTTCCCCCGCATATCTATTACATGTAAAAGTACTATCTCTCATGTTTTATCTGACAGGTGGCCCTTGTTCTGCTCTTTCTATCCTTGTGTATGAAATAAGTATTTCTAAGATTTGTAGTTTTTGTTACTAAATCAATTTTTAGTTTTTTTATCATATGGTAGTACTCCAAATATAGGGTAAAGTGATCCTTCAAATAGTTCATTTAGTGCAGAAAACAAATTGTTGTGCATTTGAAGATGTCCATTTATCTTCCGGTGGATGATTCAAACACTTTGTTTATCATATGACAAGTCATCCACACCCATTAAAGGGAAGACCTGAACAATTTAAAAATGACATGGCCCATTATGTGCTTCTTGCTTAGTTTTCTTGTAGAAAACCAAAAGACACCAGCTATTGCCTCTCCTCTATCAAGAACCTTAGAGAAAGAACATTAAACCGACAATCTAAAATTACGATAAAACACTGGATCTCAAACAATATATCAAAAGAAATCCAGAAACCCAATCTTAAAATGATCTAAAATATTTCAAGATGGGGGAAAACCTTAAGGTGATAAGAGAACCAATGTTTATCATTATTTGACCCTGCACAAGTGTATGTAGATTGTTCTAAAAAAAATAAAAATAAAAATAAAAAAAATCAATTGCACCTTATTCATTCGTATTTGGAAAATCGCAAGGAGAATCAATGTTTAAGTGTACTGATAACAGTCGCCTCTGATTCAAATTCATAAATAGAAACACAAACCGAAACCACAAAAAAAGAAAAAAAATAACCCAATTTATTTTGGGTTTTCAAAAAGATTCAGTCAGATATAAAAAATAATTTGAAAGGATGTTCCTGAGATCACCTTTGTGATCATGTAGGTCTCCCCATATAATGAGCCTTAAATTCGGATGCAGGTTACTTGGAGAAATCTTTTGTGTTTGTGATTAATTATTCCTCCAAAATGTAGATTCAATGTGGATAAGAAACTCACCCGAGGTTTATAACATGGGTTCCAACTCGTTCTTCCATTGCGGGACCAAAACACCATAAATTAGATATTTAAAAAGATTTCTCTAAGTAACCTTTAACTTGAGATTTGTTGAAAGCACATATGTGATTGAGCATAATTCTATTGCAAATCATGAACATAGTCTTAGTAATGTTGTTTTCATCGATTTCTATAACAGTAGCCTTGTATTTATAATTTATTAGTGTAAACTTTTAATTGCATATAAAGAAGAAACATAAATGAAAAAAATACTCACCATGTCAAGAGAAAAGGTAGATTAAGTTTATTGATGAGACAGAGGATAATATTGTCATTTGTGACATTATCAAGCTTAGAACCATGAACTTGACCATTGATTAAGAACTAATTTTAAGTTACTTGAAACTAAAAATCAAAAGTAAGAAACATTTGGAGTTTTAAATAAATAAGAACCTGATGAGGGACACGAAGAAGAGAAAGAGTTCCATAACAGTCTAAGTAAAGAGCTTATTCGGATCCAATGTTTTCACCATAGACAAACTTGAAACACCCAAAGTCAAAATAATCAAAGTGAGCAACACTTTCTTCTCCATTTCACCAGGGTCAAGTAAAATCCCTCAAAAGCTTCAAACTGTGTTCTTTATTTATTATTTTCTTTTTTGATATTAGGGTGTTACAAAAATTTAAGAACCTTGTAGAGGGAACATCTGGACAAACACATCAAAGCTTTTCATCGAACACCTGATCTGTAACTGATACGTT